CATTGTATCGATGTGGGGAATCGAACCCTGGTCTTCGGCGTGGCGAGCGAACGTTTTAACCACTAGGCTGACCCACCGCCCCATTGTGTCCACAGAAAACCATTTGACAGCCTCAAATGTCATACCACTTGAAATGACAGAATACATTAATCTGGAGGAGTGAAACCACACGATGCAACAGATTTGGAAAAGAATGTCGTTTGTGCTTGATTAGTTTAATGATAATCATTTGAAATCGGCCAGGCAATGTTCAATCCAAACACTTTTATTCCATTCAGTTTAGATGTTAAGGCATTAATCCACTGAATGACAGCTTGGCGGAGGAATGCAGTCTGATGCTTTAAGGGCTAAGGTACGATTGACTGTTGGAGTAGATGATACACCTGAATACAAATGTATTTATCAGTGCTGTGGATGTGATCTGGGTATCCACGAACAATTAACACGCTGATTTTAAAGTGCCGCATGGACTTACGCAAGGATGGCTCATCTCACGAACACTGTTAACGTTGCAATCTACATCAATCACTTCGCCCATAATACCAATAGCTTAAATTGTGGAATCGATATTGATGATTCAGAGGTCATGTTATAGGCTACTTAAGAGAGAGACTGCCGCTGCGTTCAGCGAGGCGAAGTATTCAGATAATATTTAAGACTATGCATCTAACCAGTTAATAGAACCCCTAACAATGAACCAGTCAGGCTCTTCCCAATGAAGGGGGCATGGTAGACCAGAGCACGAAATTAACTACATCGACATGTGCAGAGAAATGCTAATTCACACAGAGAGATGACAGAGGGAACTGTATCAACGGAAATAAGTTCACAATTGATACTTTCTTCATGAAAGACCTGCGCCATGAAACATATGTAACTAACATCATAGACACCACCTTACTACTTTTAGATGAATCCTGGATGTAGCCTAGCCTTATCTAAAGAAGTGTGTCGCAATGGTAAGTCGCTGGTCCCGCTATAGAGCAAACTGTCTCAGGTATTGTGTGTGTGTTTCTTTATCAGTGTCCCCCTAACCTAGTTTATGCATTGCAAATGAAATATGTCTCAGTGAAAAAACGATTATGTCAACACATTATGTAACCCAAAGTGCAGGCGTCATTTATAGTGAACATGTCCTAGTGGGTTTAAAGCCTTTCATCGTAGGACTACCTATATGTTATAGACGCTTCATCTACTTGGTGCTGTCAATCTCCAACTATCTACTCTACCCTGTCAATCTCCAACTATCTATTCTGCTTTGTCAATCTCCAACTATCTACTGTGCTCTGTCTATCTCCAACTATCTACTCTACTCTGTCACTCTCCTATCTACTCTGCTCTGTCAATCTCCAACTATGTTCTCTGCTCTGTCAATCTCCAACTATCTATTCTGCTCTGTCAATCTCCAACTATCTATTCTGCTCTGTCAATCTCCAACTATCTATTCTGCTCTGTCAATCTCCATCTATCTATTCTGCTCTGTCAATCTCCAACTATCTACTCTACTCTGTCAATCTCCAACTATCTACTCTACTCTGTCAATATCCAACTCTCCTCTCTATTCTGTCAATCTCCAACTATCTATTCTGCTCTGTCAATCTCCAACTCTCCTCTCTATTCTGTCAACTCTCCAACTACTCTGTACTCTACTCTGTCAATATCCAACTCTCTCTCTATTCTGTCAATCTCAACTCTGTCACTTCTGTCAATCTCCAACTATCTACTCTACTCTGTCAATCTCCAACTATCTACTCTCCTCTCTACTCTGTCAATCTCCATCTACTATCTGTCAATCTCCTCTACTCTGTCTGTATCTCAACTCTCTATTCTGCTCTGTCAATCTCCAACTATCTACTCTACTCTGTCAATATCCAACTCTCCTCTCTACTCTGTCAATCTCCAACTATCTACTCTACTCTGTCAATCTCCAACTATCTACTCTACTCTGTCAATCTCCAACTATCTACTCTACTCTGTCAATCCAACTCCATTCTGCTCTATCTCCCAACTACTCTACTCTGTCAATATCCAACTCTCCTCTCTATTCTGTCAATCTCCAACTATCTACTCTACTCTGTCAATCTCCAACTCTCTCTCTACTCTGTCAATCTCCAACTATCTACTCTACTCTGTCAATCTCCAACTCTCCTCTCTATTCTGTCAATCTCCAACTATCTACTCTACTCTGTCAATCTCCAACTATCTACTCTATTCTACTCTGTCAATCTCAACTCTCCTATCTACTCTCAATCTCCATCAATCTACTCTACTCTGTCAATCTCCAACTCTCCACTCTATTCTGTCAATCTCCAACTATCTATTCTACTATTCAAATCATCGGTATCTTTATGTAACGCCTACTGTATTGGTAATACATCTGCAAATACAGCATGCTCCGACTTGAAGATTGATTATAATTATCTTAAAACATTTTATATGTCAAACTCTGGAATACATTATTATCATGTATTATTATATAAAATCCCTCTGACTGACAAATTAAAGCATGCGAAGATCGTTATTTCCACCCTGGTTAACTACGTCTTGGCTTCTTTGGCGGTCTGCCTATTTAGTGGAGCAGATAACTGAAAATTTCAAGAGAATCGTTCACTTCTGGAAACAAGCACCAAAATTGGCACACATACTCCTGGGGGATTGCTCTATTGATAAAACCCGTTAGCCACCTAAAAATTAAAGATGGCTGCCATTTTTCAAGATGGCCGCCATTGAATATAACGAAATATTGCATTTCGCAATAAAATTGCAGAGACCTATCCGATTTGAACGATCTTGGTGTCAAATCATATATTTTGGACTATGCAGAATCCGAATTTTGAACCTTGGACTCATTCACTGGCTTCCTTGTACCATATATCAGTCCCCAAATCCAAAATTCACGTTACGTCTGACTATGCCAAACTGCATAGGTCTCTGCAATTTTATTGCAAAACGCAATATTTCTTTATATTCAATGGCGGCCATCTTGAAAAATGGCAGCCATCATTAATGTTTAGGTGGCTAACGGGTTTTATCAAAAGAGCAATAACCCAGGAGTATTTGTGCCAATTTTGGTGCTTGTTTCCAGAAGTGAACGATTGTTACATATGAAGGGACGCGGCGCACCAGCTTATCATCGACTCCACGTTAACCTCTACACCACTCTTTTCCCCGACACACACTTATCATCAACACCACCTCTCCACGACACCAACTTATCAACAACACCACTTTATCCCCGACACACCTTCTCCTCGACATACAGCTTCTCCTCGACACCACCTTATTCCCGACACACCTTTTCCTCGACACCACCTTATCCCCGACACATCTTCTCCTCGACACCACCTTCTCCTCGACACCACCTTATCCCCGACACATCTTCTCCTCGACACCACCTTATCCTCGACACCACCTTATCCCCGACACATCTTCTCGACACCACCTTCTCCTCGACACCACCTTATCCCCGACACATCTTCTCCTCGACACCACCTTATCACCGACACACCTTCTCCTCGACACCATCTAATCCCCGAGATACCTTCACCTCGACAACGCCTTATCCCCGACACACCTTCTCCTCGACATGCACCTTCTCCTCGACACCACCTAATCCTCGAGATACCTTCTCCTCAACACCACCTTATCCCCGACACACCTTCTCCTCGACACCACCGACACCACCTTATCCCCGACACATCTTCTCCTCGACACCACCTTCTCCTCGACACCACCTTATCCCCGACACATCTTCCTCGACACCACCTTATCCTCGACACCACCTTTATCACCGACACATCTTTCGACACCATCTCCTCGACACCACCTTATCCCCGACATCTTCTCCTCGACACCACCTTATCACCGACACACCTTCCTCGACACCACCTAATCCCCGAGATACCTTCACCTCGACAACGCCTTATCCCCGACACACCTTCTCCTCGACATGCACCTTCTCCTCGACACCACCTAATCCCTCGAGATACCTTCTCCTCGACACCACCTTATCCCCGACACACCTTCTCCTTGACACCACCTTATCCCGACACATCTTCTCCTCGACACCACCTTCTCCTCGACACCACCTTATTCCCGACACACCTTCTCCTCGACACCACCTTATCCCCGACACATCTTCTCCTCGACACCACCTTCTCCTCGACACCACCTTATCCCCGACACCACCTTATCACCGACACACCTTCTCATGGCCCCTCCTAATCCCCGAGATACCTTCTCCTCGACACCACCTTATCCCCGACACATCTTCTCCTCGACACCACCTTATCCCCGACACATCTTCTCCTCGACACCACCTTATCACCGACACACCTTCTCCTCGACACCATCTGGTGTCCCCCGCCGTGATATTGCTGGAATATTGCTAAAAGCGGCGTAAAACTAAACTCAGTCAGTCAGTCAGTCCTCGACACCACCTTATCCCCGAGATACCTTCACCTCGACAACGCCTTATCCCCGACACACCTTCTCCTCGACATGCACCTTCTCCTCGACACCACCTTATCCCCGACACAACTTCTCCTCGACATGCACCTTCTCCTCGACACCACCTTATCCCCGACACACTTTCTCCTCGACACCACCTTATCCCCGAGACACTTTCTCCTCGACACCACCTTATCCCCGACTGCCTTCTACTCGACACCACCTTATCCCCGAGATACCTTCTCCTCGACACCACTTTATCCCCGACACACCTTCTCCTCAACAACGCCTTATCCCAGACATGCCTTGTCCTCGACATGCACCTTCTCCTCGACGCCACCTTATCCCCGACACACCTTCTCCTCGACATACACCTTCTCCTCGACACCACCTTATCCCCGAGATACACCTTCTCCGCGACACCACCTTATCCCCGACACACCTTCTCCTCGACACCTCCTTATCCCCGACACACCTTATGCCCGACACCCCTTCCCCGACACCAACCGAATCATGTACACCATCATATCCCCGAAACCACCGAAACACACCTCATCCTCGACACCATTTTATCCGCCCGTCATAATATGGATCCATTTCACTACATTTAGCTCGTGACTACATGGATCCCAGTCAACACATCATCCAGTCACGTTTAACTTGTTGATCCCAAAGCTCCACCTGCATCCCACTTTGTAACCACCTGGACCCGCGGTATTTGATCCCCTAACCCGCACTCTTCTTCGTAGAGTCACCAGTTACACACCCGTTTTCAGGCACAGATCCGTTAACAGATCGAGCTTGTTTTGTTAAGTATTTCTTCGCGGCGAGTTCCCATTCTTCATGGGCGATCATGTGTGAGCTATATCAAAGCATTACAACATCAACGAAAACGTTTCTTTCGCGGCAAGGTCACATCTATGACAGACTGGAGGTGAAACATATCAGCCATGAGACACCAGGAAGGTCCGCCGTTCAGACGCGAGATAAAGAGCCCGTCTGTCCCTACTTTAACTATGACACTTGGTACAGTGGTACGTGGCAGCAGAATACATGTTTTGTTTAGCATCCCGGTAGTATTGTGTTTGTTGCTTAACACTGTCGAGTTGCTAAACATATATACTGAGGGGAAAAAATAAGGGATCACATGGCAGCACAAGTGTTCCTTTCTTTGTTTCCAGGTTTCTTCACAAGCTATGCGATACAACGCTTGTGAAGACACCTGGAAAAAAATAAAGGAACACTTGTGCTTCCATGTGATCCCTTATTTTTTTCCTTCAGTATATATTCTGCAGTATAAATATATTCTAACCATATTGAATCGTTTTGGTGAGTGATGTGTCAAGTTTGGAAACATTATCAAACACTCCACTATAGGTAAAGGGACTTGATTCGATTTTTCCCTTGTTTTGAGTCTAGAGTTAGTTTTTATTCGTAAAACATATAGTTACAAATATGAAACAGTGGTGTCTTTTATATCTAACAGGTTGGTAGAGTCAGGGAAACGTCTCTTTGACCATTATTGAAACTATTTGAAACAACATTGAAATATTGAATTACGAACGCAAATTATCTCACTTGTTATCATGCTAAATATTTTCATGACACTTATATCCACTCACATGTTAGTAAGCTATTACCATCCGTGATAAAATATCAGTTCCGTCTGATGCACTGCGATAAACTCTGTGAAAGCTATGTTTACACCTGACGCGCAAATTGTCTATATTAGAGAATAATAATCAGATAGCATGACTGAAATATCATACTCGTCTCCAACCCTTACAGCTAGTCACATTCTAGTCAGCGCCACTACATTTAACCATATATGTTGTATGCATTGAAAGAAAACATACATGCATGCATCACATGGGAAAACCCGTGCTATAGAGTGCATGCATAACAGTGAGGTCCACAAAACATGCTATAAATAAAGTACTTCCTTTCACAGACACTCAACCAATGAAATCTAATCTCGCGCGGCCGAGGCCACAATGATCATTTTACTTCCTGCTCTGTTATACCGTCCTCGATCAGTGTTAGATGTTATGTTAGGACGGGAGATGTGTTCACGCTGTCGTGGGGATTGTACTTGTGCATGGAGGTGATGGTGAGTATCAAACAGCTGAATGTATACCGCCTATATATAACATAACAACTATACCTCTTAGTCAATCAGTAAATATGCTTCGTTGTTAAGGTTACAAGTGACGTATGTATGTCACATATATATGTACCCTGCATCAGTACGACACAGTGCTTTTGTGTTTGTCTTTTGTTGAGTCTGTCTGTCTGTCTATCTGTCTGTACGTATGTAGGTACGTATGTGGGAGTGTCTGTCTCTCTGTCTATAGCTACGTACGTATGTGGGAGTGTCTGTGTGTCTGTCTTTCTGTCTGTACGTACGTATATTGAAGTGTGTGTCTCTCTGTCTGTCTATACGTACGTACGTATGTACGTATGTGGGAGTGTGTGTGTCTCTCTGTCTGTCTATACGTACATACGTATGTGTGTGTATGTATGTATGTATGTATGGATGTATGATGGATGATGGATGTATGTATGTATGTATGTATGTATGTATGTATGTATGTATGTATGTATGTATGTATGTATGTATGTATGTATGTATGTATGTATGTATGTATGTATGTATGTATGTATGTATGTATGTATGTATGTATGGATGTATGGATGTATGGATGGATGTATGTATGTATGGATGTATGGATGTATGTATGTATGGATGGATGGATGGATGTAATGTATGTATGGATGTATGTATGGATGGTATGGATGTATGGATGTAATGTATGGATGGATGGATGGATGGATGGATGTATATATGAATGTATGTATGTATGGATGGATGGATGGATGTAATGTATGTATGTATGTATGTATGTATGTATGTATGTATGTATGGATGGATGGATGGATGGATGGATGTAATGTATGTATGTATGTATGTATGTATGTATGTATGTATGTATGTATGGATGGATGTATGTATGGATGGATGGATGGATGGATGGATGGATGTAACGTATGTATGTATGAATGTATGTATGTATGTATATATGAATGTATGTAGTATGTATGTGTGTGTGAGTGCGTATGTCTGTGTGCCTATGTCTGTGTGTGTGTCTGTGTGTCTGTACGTCTTTTCCTCTCTGTCTCCGTGTTCGCACTCGTTGTTATTGTCATCGCTATAATGGGTACAGTCAAAATGCAGCTATAGCCTAATGTAATAGGTGACGCGTATATCCAGTTTGGCATTATAACCAGAGTATTATAGGGGCAGAAAATCCATTCTGGCAGAAACATGGCACTATATCCAGGATGACATTATATAACAGGCGCAGTATAACAAGGGTGCACTGTTTATCTACTGGTGGCATTTCGCTAACGTCGATTGGCCTAGCGCATGCCTAGAGCAACTTGTGACGTTACGGATATGTTGGTAACTAGGACTGAGACAAACAGATTCGATTACGTGTTCCATGTATATTGAATAGACAGGTCCGTTTCAAAGTTTGGTGTTGACGTAGACTTATGTGTCTCGCATACAGGCAGGATTGCAGTCAGTATATAAACAGCGAATAGATTCAAGTACTTAGTCAAGGCTGGTTGTCAGTCGATATCAGCTCAACGTAGAAATCCCGGGAGTTGTATAGAGTCAGGTGTGTGGCTATAATTGTCCCACTGACACTCAGCGCCAGGTACAGGCGTGTTCACTGGGTAAATGGGTTGTCCGACATAACACATTCAACACTAGGCTCTTATCTGGCTCACATGCCGCTGCAACGGAAAATACCTCATTTGTCGTTGTTGATTTCCTCACATTTTCTACTCCTTTTCCGGCCGTCCACCAATTTCCCGAGGCAAAGGGCTTACTTTTCAAACGAAACCGAGGAGGAGGTTTTGATCCAACTTATGAACCAACCGAAGATATACTTTAGATGTAATTTTAATATTTGATATTTACTGTTGAAATCAACTGGGATGTGTCCACATCGACTCTTCCTTGACTCTGGATGCTCATGTTAACCGTCTGAGCAGGACCTGCTACTTTCACCTAAGATCCAGTCGTAATATTCGGCAATACCTGACAACTGCTGCAACTCAAGCCCTTGTTCGAGCTCTTGTTACATCTAGGCTTGATTACTGTAACAGCATCCTTTCAGGCCTCAGTTCTAAACTCCTTGATAAGCTTCAGAAGATCCAAAACACTTCCGCCCGCATCACCAGCAAGTCTTCTAAACGTTCCCATATAACAACGGTGTTGAAAGAACTGCATTGGCTACCAGTTAGGGCCAGAATTGACTTTAAGATCCTCTGTCTGACGTACAAGTGCCTCCATGGTTTGGTTCCCTCCTACTCGTCTGAACTCCTACATCCGTATGTCCCCGCACGCAACTTGCGTCACACACAAAATCGACTGGTCATCCCATCCTACAAACTGAAATCCTTTGGACACCGATCATTCTCTTACTCTGCTCTGCACCTGTGCTTTGGAACTCTCTCCCATGTGCCATTAAAAGCTCTGACACATTTGACATTTTTAAGTCCAGACTTAAAACCCACGTTTTCTCAGTATATTACGTGTAATGTCAGCTGTAAATACTCCAGTGTAAATATTCTGTAGCGCTTTGAGCATGCCTTAGGGTGTCGAAAGGGCGCATTATTATTATTATTATTATTATTATTATTATTATTATTATTATTATTATTATTGTTGTTATTATTGTTATTATGCGACTGGCACCCGATACCCTGCTTTGCACGCGCTACCCGTGTCCTGCACGTGTGCTGCACGCTCTACCCGTCTTGTGAGGAACACAAAATATGACAAAATATCACATTCTTCCGGACGATCCTAGTATAGATAAAACCTCCAATCCAGTAAGCGAAGGGCTGCTGGTTCGAAACCAGCAATCGGCACAATAATTTGGAAGTTTTCAATAATGTTTTACGATCGCATTCATTAATAGCAAGCAAAAGTTATATCAATCATCAAAACTTGTACAAGATAAATATTCAAAGACAACGACTATACCTCATAAAATCCCGGGATCTCTTGGGGAATCCCCGCGAAACTGCCTGAAGAGGTTTACTCGATGAAAGAGGCATTCATTGAGGTACTAAAACATAAAATGATCTAACCACAGCACCGTTACTCCTCCCACACTCAACACACACTGCTGTTACTCAACACAGCCGTTATCCCCCTACTCAACACAGCCGTTACTCCCCAATACTCAACACACGTTACTCCCCCCATACTCAACACAGCCGTTACTCCCCCCATACTCAACACAGCCGTTACTCCTCCAACACTTAACACACGTTACTCCCCCCATACTCAACACAGCCGTTACTCCTCCTCCATACTCAACTCAACACGTTACTCCTCCCACACTCAACACACGTTACTCCCCCATACTCAACACACGTTACTCCTCCCACACTCCAACACAGTCGTTACTCCTCCCACACTTAACTCAACACACACAGCCGTTACTCCCCCCATACTCAACACACGTTACTCCTCCCACACTCACTACACACGTTACTCCTCCCACACTCAACACAGGTTACTCCTCCCACACTCAACACGTTACTCCTCCACACTCAACACACACGTTACTCCTCCCACACTCAACACACGTTACTCCTCCCACACTCAACACACGTTACTCCTCCCACACTCAACTCAACACACGTTACTCCTCCCACACTCAACACACACGTTACCCCTCCCTCCCACACTCAACACACGTTACTCCTCCCACACTCAACACACGTTACTCCTCCCACACTCAACACACGTTACTCCTCCCACACTCAACACACGTTACTCCTCCCACACTCAACACACGTTACTCCTCCCACACTCAACACACGTTACTCCTCCCACACTCAACACACGTTACTCCTCCCACACTCAACACACGTTACTCCTCCCACACTCAACACACGTTACTCCTCCCACACTCAACACATGTTACTCCTCCCACACTCAACACACTGTTACTCCTCCCACATTCAACACAGCCGTTACTCCTCCCACACTCAACACAGCCGTTACTCCTCCCACACTCAACACAGCTGTTACTCCTCCCACACTCAACACACACGTTACTCCTCCCATACTCAACACAGCTGTTACTCCTCCCACAGTCAAGACACACAGATGGTTTCCCTCCCAAACTCCACCAATACATATACGGTCGAGTTACTCCTCCCACACAAAGTAACTAATGGTATGCTAAACATCTCACAGTCAACACACTACCGTGTCCCCCCGTTTCACCAATGTGCCAAGCATTACTATGACAAGCATTACGTCCGGATTTTACAATTGAACTCATTCTTATTGCACTGCTAAATAGTTTCCCTACACAGTTCACTTCCATAAAAATCTATGGCGTAATACAAGATTCATCTGAACAGTACTGGGCACAATGTCAGTTTGACATAATCAACAAAGATGTCACGGATGAAGCGGTTGTCCCCGTGACGTCTTACTTCCTAGTTTAAACAGGTTAAACATACATATGACAGCTTTATCTGGGAAACATAATTTGTTACAGGATGTCAAGCACTTGAACTCCTTTCAAAAAGTAGATCTTAGGGTTTGAGCACGAAACACTGCACACACATCAAACATGTCACATCAAACACTGCACGCACATCACACGTGTCACACCAAACACTGTACGTACATCACACGTGTCACAACAAACACTGTACGTACATCACACGTGTCACACCAAACACTGCAGAGTCATAAAATATGTCACACCAACACTGCACAGACATGACACATGTCACACCAAACACTTCACGCACATCACACGTGTCACACCAAACACTGCACGTGCATCACACATGTCACACCAAACTCCACGCACATCACACATGTAACATCAAACACTGCACGTACATCACTCCTGTCACATCAAACACTGCAGAGACATAAAATATGTCACATCAAATACTGCACGTACATCACACGTCACACCAAACACTGCACGCACATCACACGTGTCAAACCAAACAATGCACTCAGATCACACATGTCACATCAAACACTGCAAGCACATC